TGGGCAGACGATCAGAGCTGCCAGAGGCGTTGCTTACGGCGTTGGCGGCGCGGCTCGACGACGACGACGACGCGCGGGGCGCCGCCGTCGAGGCCCTGTGCGGACGATCGGAGCTGCCGGAGGCGGCGCGGCTCGATGACGGCGACGAGAACGTACAGGGCGCCGCCATCGAGGCCCTAGACGGACGATCAGAGCTGCCGGATACGGTGCTTATGGCGGTGGCGGCACGGCTTGACTACGATGACTGGCGCGTGCGGGGCGCCGCCGTCAAGGCCCTAGGCAGACGATCGGAGCTACCGCAGGCGGTGCTTACGGCGGTGGCGGCGCGGCTCGACGACGACGGCGACGAAGTGCGGCGCGCCGCCGTCGAGGCCCTGGGCGAACGATCGGAGCTGCCGGAAGCGGTGCTCATGGCGGTGGCGGCACGGCTCAACCACGTCGACTGGCGCGTGCGGGACGCCGCCGTCGAGGTCTTACTACATAGGAACGAGAAACTCTCTCGCATACTTCAGGGGTCTCTTATTGCATCTTTCTATAAGGCTTTACTTGAACGGAGCTTTGGGGAACAGTTAAGTTGGTACATTGAAGAAGATCGCTACTGCGTCAACATGCCAGGCGGTATTGTGTTATTATCTGTCGATATTCCACAGAACGAAGTTAGAGAATGGATAAAAGGAGCCAGGCTGTCCATCTACGAGCGGTGGGGAGAGCTCGTCTAACCACTAGTCCTACTTGGTGGACGACGAATCTGACAGTGGGTGGATGGAAAAGGATGTCAATTCCTCAACTGTGAGTGCTTTCGTGCACGTTTGACGCCGTGAAGCATTATCTATATATATATGAAAAACATGTACAAGCCCTCCTCAAGTTCATTATTCACCTGTACCCAGAGCAGACATCCTGGTAGACATTGTGCTCCAGGCTGGCAGCGTCTGTGGGCACGTACTTGAGATACGTCGCGTACGAATACGTCCATCGAGGGTCATTCAGCTCCGTCTTCCAGGTCCAAAACACCCATCCAGACATGCCCGGCTTCTCGTAGAGCTGCTGCTGCGCCGTGAACCACTTTTTAAAAAACCCGGCGTCGTGCCAGTCCACGCTGGACGTCATGCTCCATTCGCCCGTAATGTCAAAGTCCTCCTCGCCGTCGACGACGCGCGAGTCGGTGCAGGCGCTGCGCATCAGCCTACCCTGGTCGCCGCGCTGGTCGTCGGGCAGGCCAAAGCTAATGTAGTTGTGGTCGTCAAAGGCGACGCGGGGGTCGTTGGCGACGGCGCTCGCGTCCCGGGGGTTGCCGGAGCTCCATTTGGCCGACATGTACTGCACGTGCAGCTTCTTGTCGTCGGAGATGCCCAGCTCGGCCTCGACGTCGCGGACGGCCTTGAGAGCGGCCGGGTAGTACTGCTGGATCAGGCCGGGGACCTCGCCGGGGGCCGGGTAGCGGCCGGCGGCGTCGTGGCCGGACACGGGCTCGTTGAGGACCTCGATCATGCCAACGGTGCGGTAGGCGTTGTTGGTGTGAATGCGACGCGCCATCCACGACATCCATTTTTCGGCACGGCCAAAGTTGTAGTCGTTGAAGAAGCCGGCCGGGTGGTTGTTCTGGCCGGTAAAGACGTCCTCCTGCTGGCCGCCGGGCGCGCCGTGGAAATCTATAATCACGTAGATGCCGAGGTCAGCCGCCTTGGCGACCACCTTGTCGAGATACGGAAGCATGCGGTTTCCGTCGGCAAAGGGCTCGCTGTCCTTGTCGACAATGTCAACATAGGACCAGTAGCCAATGGGGATGCGGATCGTGTTTAGGCCAACGTCGTGAACAGACTGGACCGTGTCCGCGTTGATCCAGTCTCTCCAGTGGTTCTCAAATTTCTGGTTGCCTTGCTCGCGGTTGCCGCCAGAGTAGTGGTCCCTCATGCAGTCAAACTCGGACGCAGATCCGGCGCATCCCATGACGTTATCCCACTCGTTGGTCATCATCCAGCGCTCGCCGATAAGCCAGCCTTTAGTTTGTAAAGTCAGCTTCTTGTTGCGCAGCAAATCATAGTAGTGAACTTACCGCCAAAGTTGACACCGCGAATCTTGTTGATTCCGCTGCCAAGGCTAGGCTTGAAGCGCTTTCCAAGCTGCTCAAAGCGAGCAGTCATGTTGAAAGCGGCCAGGTCGCGGTCCTCGGGCCTCCAGGCCTGGGCGACGCCAGCGAGGAGCGCAGGCGCGATTACAGAAAACTTCATCTTTGAATCGCGAGAGTGATGCAAAGATTATATTCTGACAACATTTTTCTACAACCGGGCGATACATCTATTTAACCAAGTCTGATCACTGTCGCGCTATTGTCCCGGGTCCTCGGCCTAGTAGAAAGCAAGAGCCCGCAATCCAAAGCGCCGGACGGCCCGATTACAGGGTGTGAATACTGACGGGATACGGTTGGTGGAAGTAATATTTTAGCAGCAGCAATCCGGCCAAGTAGTTTTGTGGAGGCCCGTCTCGCCGTCCAACAGTGCCCTTTTAAATCGCCCATGTGGATACAATAGCTTCGGGGATCATCGGCGATGCTGTCATCAAGTCAAAGAGATGGATAAACTCCACTGCGTGTAGTTGCGATGACGATGGACGTCTTGATACTTGGCTGGGAGAATTGCGGGTTGACGCTCCTCTGTGATGGCTTTTGGACTTGTACATGAGGCTAGCTGCCCCGTTTCACACTCTTTGACCTATTATTTTGAGTATTCATTCATGGTCGTATTTGTTCACAGGACTACTTTTGGCGTTGGAGCGATGAACCTTCTGGACGCCAATTGACGCTAATCAACGAGCCCAAAACCCGACAATTTCATCAAAGTCTTCCGTTCTTAAGCTTTGGACATCTCGGTCTACCTTGGTTACCTCTTTCCTCAAGCGACAGGCGACCTTCAGAGCTATAGAAGCCTCTTGTGTCTTGCCTGCCCCCTCAAATACCTTGGCCATAAGAAAAGTAGTGCGAGCAATCTCGTTCAAATGTGCAGTTTGGTCTACCGACCAGATTTGGAGCGCTAAATAAATCATCGCACTGGAACGATCAGCGAGTTACTCACTTCTCGGGTCGAAAGGTAACACCCATCAACACTTACATAGCTTCATCGCGTTTCCCTGCTCGGTTGAGATGCTCGGCAAGTTTATGAGCGACATTTGCAGTGTAAACGTCTTTCTTGCCAACCGTCGCGCACATGTGGCGCCACGCCCTGCGGTGGTATTCGAAACTCTCGCCCCATTCCTTCTGCGCAGCGCGGAGATTTCCAAGTGCGTACAGAATCAATCCCGTCCGAACGGATTCCCTGTCTTCCTTTCCAAGAGCCTTTTCTCTGCCTGCCAAGCTATCAATGAGAAGCGTATTGCACTCTTCAAGTTTGCCTTGAGCAAGCAGGGCCCAGCTGAGATTGGCCTCGCCTGACCGGGGGATGTAATTGCCCAGGGATTTGCGTATCCGTAACGCCTCCTTCAGATCGGCTTCGCCTTCCTCGTACCTCCTATCCTGAGTGCGTGCAATCCCTCGCTCTGCGAATGCAAGGTATAATCTCTCGTCTTCTCTCCCCAATGTTTTGCAAATTTTGAAAACCAGGTCAAAGGAACGTTCCTTGTTAATTCGGCTTGTTTCAAAGTCATTGGTATCCATGGCGATAGATCCTAAGCAAAAGAAAATATCTGCAAGCACCGAGTCCCGATCAGGGTGTGTTGAGATCTCGCAGATACTTTGAGCAGATCCAAAGAAGCCGTCAAAATGCTTCGTGCGTCCGCGCTCTTTTTGGTACCTTGTACTATTAGATTATACAGAGACAGCAGTCAGGATTGCGTCTACGTACCATGCAGCCTCGATCAGAAGCTTCGCAAACAGTAAATTCGTCGTCTCGGATAAGCCTGAGATGGTTGCCCAGAGCTGATGTATCTTCAGCACGTGAGGGTAAAGGGATGCACACACAGGCCACCTTTTGACGTGCAGCCTGCCGCCAGTTGATTTGGGTTGAGGTAACTCTGGCTCTTTGGATGGCTGAGGCATGGCTGATGGCCAGTCCGCCCAAAGCATTCGAACAATCTGGTCAAACATGAACCGTTTATTGGTGAGGTCCATTGTTGCAAATACCGCATCTTGTACAATGCGATGGACCGATATTTGTTGTTTCTGCTTATCTCTCCGAACCAAGGACGATTGCATTAGCTCCGTTCGAGCTTCAATGTAATTGCTTTTTTTGAACGGGGCACTTTCGCAGAGCAGTCTTGCGGATGCCTCCATCAGCAGGTCCTCACCAATGATGTCTGGATCAAGGAATGAGATAAGCTCCAATAACTTGCGAGCCTGCGGCTTCAGCTTCTCGAACGCCCAAACCGAAGACAGAGAATGGCGGTATGTGGCCAAGTTTCTGTCAAATTTTGTCTGATACAGAGTAGCACGTTCTTCATGATCAATGAAGAGTACGAGGAATTCTGCCAAAGTAAGGTCTTGTCGACGAATGATCCCGGCCATTTGAGAGATGGCTAAAGGAATACCACCAAGTGCGTTGGATATATGGCGCGCTGCTTCGTCCTCCTGCGTGTTAGAATTGACAGTGAGATGGTTGAACAAGGAGAGACCGTCCTGCTGTGACAGTGGGCCAAGATCGAGGCCCGCGAATCTGCTTGTAAACATGGTTTTCGCCAAAGGGTCGCGACTAGTGACCAGAATTGATCCGCTTCCTTGGGGCCAATAGTCTGCCAACATGGTTGGGTCATCCGCGTTGTCGAATATAAGCAACCAGGTAGCCCCGCGTTCGGCCTGATTGGCTTGTCCAATCTCATCTGACGCCAGCAGCTGCGATTGAGGATTTGAGAGCCATCCTTTCAAGATTTCTCTGCTGACGAGCAGGCTCTTACACTCAGATTCATCTTCAAGACCTAGTGCCAGCGAAATTTTCTGGTATTGGTGGTCAAGTTTCGATTTCTCGTCCGCCACGACCCAAAATACTGCATCGAAATGACGCTTGTGACGTCGAGCGAACTCACGGGCAGTTTCCGTCTTCCCGATACCCCCAAATCCACACAGTGCAAACTGTCGTAGACCGGTTCCTGATGCTGCCGCTACATTCGTAGACGGCAGAAGCTCGTCTGCAAGGCGTCCTAACACATCTTCGCGGCCACAAAAGTCTGTATTGACCGAATGGTAGTTTAAAAGGTAGCACGGCAAGCGGAAGTCTTTGCAAAGGGGACTGCTAGGTGTGATGGGATGGACCATGTCGAACCCTGAAAGCGATGTTCTTTCTGTTGCTCTGTTCGACGGCCAATTTGTTGCTTCGTTTGACGAGCATTCTGTAAGCTTCAGCTGCTCAACTATCACACGTCAGCAGGTTTATTTGGTGCAGCAAGACCTCCTTCAACTTACAAGTCACTGGTAGCTCGCTCATCGTGGGCGAGTAAGAGCTCATTGCCGCGTATTGGTTCTTTGTGACTTATCGTCCTCGAGTCTAAGATTGACAAGTCATGCAACGTCGTCCAACGTCGTCCAACGTCTCGTCAACAAACGGCAGTACAGTCGTGAAGAGCTTTGCGCCAGCGCTGTAGATAGCAAACGCATAAAACCTTGGTCGATTCTCCGAGAGCATTCCCATCACTGCGCTAACAATGGGACGGCCCGTTGGTTCCCCCCGCCGTAGCCTGGTGAGGAATAGGTCAGATAGGAGGGGGTGGCGCAACGCCACAGCGCGTAAAATGTGCTCAAGTTCCAGGGTAGCAGCACCCACAAGATGTGAGGTGCCGCTGTCGTAATTCTGCCGCCAATAGTGCGGGAAGCCTTTTGAATACTTCTGAATAAAATTGCGAGCTCCTGTTCGCACAGGGAACTGCATACGAGTTTGATGCAATATGTAGTAAGTCATTAGCTCCGCTAGAGTCGAATGTCCCATAAGCTGTCCTGGGTACAGCAGCACTCTCTTCATATTGGATGACGATAGTGACACCCAGATTGTTCAGCTGACAACGCTTGCCAGCACTTTCCCCGCGATCCGAGCTTGCATTTTCGACGTGGATGGGCTTCTCATTGACTCGGAAGATATAATCACCCAGTCCACGAACCAACTTCTCGACAAGTATGGCAGGCCTCCCTTTACCTCGTCGATTCGCGCCCAGCTTATGGGAGTCCCAGACTCCACCAATGGCGACCTGTTCCACAGCTGGGCCAAATTGCCCATCTCTCGCGAACAATTCGCTCATGAATTGAAACAACAATTGCGGCTGGACTTTCCACGATCCAAACCGCTGCCTGGGGCGAGAGAGCTTGTGTCTCGCCTCAGCCTTGCACAGAGCGCAAACGGGGACAGCATTGTGCTTGCAATGGCCTCCAGCACCAAGACTCAGAGTTACGAGCTAAAAGCATCGAGCCCAGAAGTGAAACAAGTGTTAGGCTTCTTCCATCCTGATAAGCGCATCCTGGGAGATGACGCGAGATTGCGACAAGGTCGAGGAAAGCCGGCACCCGACATCTACTTGCTCGCTTTGCAATTGGTCAATTCGACAGAGAAATGCGGCGGAAAGGCGATCAAGCCCGAGGAGTGTCTGGTTTTGGAAGATAGCGTAGCGGGGGTAGAGGCAGGAAGACGGGCCGGCATGAGGGTTGTTTGGGTACCACATCCAGACGTGGCGGTTGAATATCAAGCAAGGCAAAAGGAAGTGTTGGCTGGAAGAACTGGAACGTTTGACATTGGAGACGACTGGCAGCCAGGGGCAATTGACGATGGCTGGGCTGAATGTATACCAAGTCTGCAGCACTTCAATTACGACAAGTATGGAATAATCATACCGCCCTAGATTATCTTCAGGAGCATTGACGTTGCACAACTTGCCTCCCTTTAGATGAGAAATAATCGAGCACCGTTGCTGAGATCAAGGTTCCTGTATCTACCTAGGTGGATCAGGTAACCTACTTGAGGTCAGCCGGGATGGCCGCCCGTCAGCAGTGGCCACGCCACGTGACAGCGTGGGAGAGCGACACACGCATTGCAGGAAGATCACGAAGAGCAGGGCAAAAGAATCGTTCGAGAATATGCTTCGTCACTGGTTCGCATTACTACAAATCACGCGTGGGAGTAGGCGCAGTATTTATACGTTTCGGTTTACCCCGGCTTGGCGGGACTCGGTCAGGCCACAACCGCGCCAGAAGCAGGAGAGGGTGGTAGTGAACCACGCCATGTCGGAACCAATAGGAGTCACGATGAAAATACTATTTTTTCTGCAGTGAATTTGATATAAAAAAGAAAAATCCTCATCGAGGAGTTGTAAATATATTGCCAATCAGTTTCAAGATCAGACTTTATAACAACTTCACAACAAACGACCACACAACAAATCACAACTCATAATCAACTTCAACCCGATCGACCGCCTCAATCCAACTTACAGAATGTCTGCCCCATTGAAATCAGCTGCTAGCGCCGTTACGCGCAGCTATCCCCGAGGCCTTCCCATCCTTGTCGCTGGCACATCCGGTACGCACCAGTCGTCGTCTTGTCAAAGACTTTTTTGGCCCAGGCTATTTCGAAAGATTACTGACTGATTCAATCCAGTCGTCGTTGTTGGCGCCTATGTCAAGTCTCAATTGAGCACTCAGTCCAACACTATGGATCGCTTCTTCTCCACATACAACACGCCTGAAAGTGAAGCTTCCCGGCAGAGAACGTTCCACGGCCACCCCGACACTCGATCAAACATGCTCAACATACTGGGCCGGAAATAAAAAGAGATTCGTGCAAGATGCGCAATGGTTTTTCTTTGTGTCAGCGGGCTCTTTGGATGCACAGTTTTGTTCAAATCACTTTAGCATTGTTAAATGGGCTTGGCCTGAAGTTTAGGGCTCAGGAATTCATAGAGGGCGTCTTTTCCCATTTCCGGTTAAAATAGAGATGACCGAACAAGAAGCAATTCAAGTTCAATTTTTTTGTAACATGCGATGGCTTTTACGCTGTAGCAATAAGTGCCACGTATTCAGAGAAGTAGTTAGCAACACCCTGTGACTTGAGCAGCAGAGCGCCACTACCATGTCAGGAAGTATGCAGAGTCTCGCATGCTTTGCAAATATTCCTGTCGCAAAACATATGGCCGGAGGATTATGACGGTATATGGAGCTCGGTGGTGCTCTTTCCGAGACAATGTTATACTGTATGGTATCAGTCATGCAGTGCACTGATACGATCGGGTCGATTTCGACCATTGTTGCCAATTGAGACCGCAGCCTAGCTGAAAAAGATTAATCATCATTGCATTTGTAGCGTATTCAGAATATTAGGTTCGGGCAATGATGATATTTTGCAATGAAAAATCGTTCTGATGGCGATTTACGATGGCGACTTACAATGGCGACTTACGATGGCAGTATGTCCCCCAAGGGCGATCATTGGAGATAAGGCTGCTGGTCGATCCGGCTAGTTGGTCACTTGACGCGAGCGGTAGGGCATTGGTATGTGCCTTGAGTGAGGTCGCAAGCCTGGGTACATTTTTTGTTTAATTCAGCTTAAGACTTCAACATAATCGGTATTATCTGATCTTGAAATTCTATTCATAATCTTCTTTGAGCGTCCCTCGCGCTGTTGGCAAATACTTATAAGTGGCCCACAATGAGTTGCAGCTACAGTGCAAGCTGAGTAGACACGGTGCACCACGCAGCCCAACATTGGTCGCAGTTTAGCTTCGCACTGTACGGCAGCATCTAAAATTCTGCGCCTGCAAACGTCGATAGAGACAGCATCGGCATAATAACTGGGCAGCGAGACAATGGCCAACTTAAAAAGACGTGCCGAAGAGGCGGCTCCGGCAAAGACGAATAAGAAGAAACGTAAGAGCAAATTTGAGGCAGAGGATGAGTCGCTCAACACTGAGCTCGGCCTCAACATGCTCTTCTCACGAATGGACAATCAGTTACTGGCCGACTACTTGGCGCAGAAAATTGGCAGATTTGGCACTGACCTCAGCCCTGTTGAATTATCCGACATTACCGTCTCTGGTGAGTAAAGGCAGACTTTTTCTGGGAAACTGCTTTTTATCGAGGCTGGCACGACTGACAAGGTGCACAGCAAACGCCATTACAGACTCTACGGGCTTTACGGAGCAGCGGACTCTGGAGAAGCTGCCGGATTTTCTGGCCAACTTTTGCAAGAATCCAGACAGCTTGGCCAAGGCGTCTAAAAAGATGGCCACTCCTCATTCCATCATTGTCACTGGCGCTGGACTACGCGCTGCCGATATCGTCAGGTACGTCTACGGCGGTCCATGGCTTCTCCAGCGTGGGGCTAACACCTAGAGCAGGGCGGTCAGGAAATTCGCTTCCAAGGAAATTGCAGTCGCAAAGCTGGTAAGTACTCTCTTTGCATTGCAGTTGATCAAGTCTCACGTTTGTTAGTTTGCAAAGCACATGAAGGTCGATGAACAAGTGGCTTTCCTAAAAAAGACGCGCGTGAGCATCGCAGTAGGCACCCCAGCGCGTCTATCCGAACTCATCGACAATGGTATGTGATGCTTCAAAAATAGTCATCTTCATTCTTCGTATCTAACATGTCTACAGGCGCCTTATCGCTAGAAGGTCTACATCGTATCGTGGTCGACGCTTCGCACATTGACCAGAAGAAGCGCGGAGTCATGGACATGAAGGACACAATGATGCCGCTTGCCAAATTTATTTCCAAAAAGCAATTTCAGGATAGATATACCGACGAGGATAAGCCTTTGTCGTTGTTGTTTTTCTAAATGTATATACCCGCCCTCCCCGTACCGCATATCGAATACATACCAGCTTAACGGCGCTGCTGCGTACCGTCGATTCTTCTCGCTACGATGACTCTTCATGGTACCTCCCTTCACAATTTCTCTTGCCTAGTAGCGAGCTCTCGCAAAGTTGTCCAAAATGATTGGGAGCGCGCCTGCACCAGTCGCTACCGGCCCGCCGGACGCCGCCTTCCTCGCCCTGGCAGCTGCAAACAAACGACAGACTTCTTTGCCTCCCACCCTGCAACCGATTTCCTCCTCTTCTCTTCTTCCATCATCACCGTTCAGTCCACCTCTCATCGAGCAGCTCTACTCTTTTTTTTTTTGGAAGCCATTCTTCGACTTTTTTGGATCCCATATTCTCTCGCTTTAGTACACTACTACTCGCCATCGGCATTTGTTACAATCTGCCACGGAAATGATGAAACGAGCATCAGCCTTTGCTGTTATGTTACCCTAGCTGGGGCAATGCAGCCAAGCACCCGCAGCAGATTCCCCAGGTTGTTTACTTTGATCCTCGTCTTGATATTGACTGACAATTTTCGCAGAGTGCGCTCGAGACTGTACCAAATCTCTTATGCAAGAGCATTCCACTACCGACCTGACAAACATTTGTTACGATGTAACGAAACAAAGAGTAAGCTTGAGCTCGAAAGTGTGTAACTCGGACCATTAATAACACTCACAGTCCCTTTTCCTTTGCATATTTGGCTCATGTCAGTCACGATACTACGGTCCGGCTCTCGCCAGTGCCATCATCTCCTGCTCTGGCCGAGGAGCAAACATCAGCCCCCTTCTTCCAGTCGAGATCCAATCCGAAAAACTCTCTGGTCGTCAGATTTCGGAAGATTCTGGTGACTCTGGCTCTATTTCAAGCTCGGATATCAACAATGAAGGCATTGACCACAAGCTCACACTTGCTCTCTCTTGCAATGCTGGTCCTGATGGAGTTGTGACGGTTTCTCTATCATCTCCTCCGACATTTGCCACCCACATTCCTGACGCTGCCAGATTCCCAGATGACCTACTCAGCCGTCTTGGCCTTGTTGGTTCTTCGACTTCCGTCGGTTCAACCGTTACTCAACCCCAAGGCCGACCTGCTCTGCCTACTACAAACAGTGGGCAGTTGACTGCATACAACAGCGACCAAGGCGGGCAGGCGGGACAGCGTGGGCAAGCCGGGTCTGCGTCTGCAATGGGGATGGACAGTGAGTGCAGAATAATGTCTACTTCCTCTTTTCCAGCTTCAATCTCTTCAAGCTCGACAGGCTGCAGCTGCTCGCAAGAAGCAAAGCCCACATCTATGCAAAGTGTCAGCGCCTGTGAGGCCACGACTCGACAGAAGTCTACACATGCAACAGCTGCTAGCACTTCTACTCAAAGTGCTACTACTTCGTCATGTGAGGATTCCGGGAAAGCTGCGGGGATGTCTGCGACACCAACATCCCGCCCATCAACATCAAACTCATCCACAACAAGTTCCTCGTCAGCATGCAGCTCGTCTTCCACTTCTGAGGCATCTTCTTGCAAGACACGAGAGACCACCACTGCCTATGTTTCAAAAGCTGAGACGACGTCTACACTTTGCTCCGGAGACACCACTTATGAAGGAAGCAGGCAGGTTCCGAAGTTCTCTGCCCAAAGGACGTTCTCCAATACTACGACTGAGTCTTCGACACTCACGCTATCACCTACCTCTGAATCAGAGACAAGCTCGAGCTCCAGTTGTGAAACAACATCTGTCTCCTCGGCTATGGTCTCATCTATTTCCAAATCTGGCTCGTCAGCTATGTCCTCGTCAAAAACTTCAAGCACGTCTTGTTCGACAACTTTAGCTTCGTCTTCAGCTACCTCTACAAATTCCTCCACGACTACCTCCACAGCTTCAACAACGTCGCCAGAATCGGTCAAAAGCTCCAACGAAGCTGAAAGTGTCTGCTCTACCTCTTCCTCATCCAGAACCACCAAAACATCTCCATCTTCTACTACGTCAAGCACAGTCTCCACGAGGCATTCAGTATCACAGTCTTCCCAGCCACCTGCATACACCAAAGAGGACTTACCCCAAGCCTATGGCACTTTAACATCTATGGCACTGCCCTCTTATGCTGATCTCACTCCTCCCAAATACGGCGCTAGTGCCTCGCTGCAAGCCGAGTCCGTCTCTTCTCAATCGAGTTCATCTACAAGTGCATCTAGCACGTCAAGTGTCTCTGCCTCGACATCTCTTTCCTTTTCTTCCTCTTCCTCTTCTTCTTCTGATTCCTCTTCCTCTTCTGATTCCTCATCATCTTTCTCCCCGAGCATCACAACAGACTCGATGTCCTCCTATGGGTACAATTTTCAAGACGCAAGTCAGACATCAGTACCAACATCAACGATATCGATACCACAAGGCAAGCCGGCTCAGACTGCCTCAGCTGAGGAGCGCACGGATAGTGCCGTATCCTTTCTCTCGTCTGAACCTGGCCACGAGGTAGAGAATACAGCCAGCAGCGCAAGTAAGAGCCAAATTCCAGGAATCGAAACAGTACCTGTGCCGAGCAAGAGCTCTGCACCAGTAACGAGACAGCCCACTGCAGCCACAGAGGTGCTGACGATCGGAGGCGGGCCACCTGTCATGTCCGTGACAATAATCGAGCCAGACGCAGATGGAAACCTTGAGACGTCTGTCCTTACGCTTTCGGAAGAGTCGCCTTGGCAAACGCCCGCGCCAAGAGTTCGAGATATCAAGGATGGCAATCTACGCGCACGGGTAGATGGAAACCGAATGGGCCTGGCATTAGGACTTCCGACACGAGATCCCAGTGCACCGGCTACCACAATGCCACCAGTGCGTACTGGTAATAACACGTCTATTTCGCCGGATGCCGCCTCAAATGCTACAGAGACCTTGGCAGACGTCCGAGGGATGCATACTCCATCGAGTGTACCACTTGACTCGTCTTCGTCCGTGGTAAAGTACTACCTTGACAGAATTGTCTTTGTTTTTATGGCTTGGGTGATTGGCAGGTGGATCTCAAGTTGAGTGCAATTTTGTTGAAGGCTGCACAGAGCAGCGATGCGACTAAACGAGAAGCATATAACGTTATAGTATGGTTATCTTGAAGGCACAAGAGAGAGGTCGAGAGAAGTGCCGCTTTTATTATGAGTCTTAAATTCAAGATAGAAACTTATGGAGCTGGCTGATGGCCATTTTAGACTTGGTAGCAATAGTTACGATGTTGTTTTCGACGTTGCAAATCTTTTGTGCTGGTGCAGGGTAAAGAATGTGCATGGGTGTTGCTCGAATACGGACCGACGCAAACAGTTCAGGTGAAGACCATCGCAGAAGACAATGCACAGAAGAGGAAATGTGTCGGCTCAGATCCTTCTCCTCTCATCATCGACATCACAGAAAAAGACCTTTTGTGACATGCTGGTTCAACAATTGGGTTCATCTTTGGCGATAACGGCTACTTTGCTACAGGATGTTTATATAAGCGTGGCCATGATTGCCGCTAGCCACTTTAGGCGCAGCCCCGCTAAAATTTCAAAACCGAACAGGAAAAACTTCTGGAGCAATTTGCCTTTTTCGAGCAACCAGCTCCTGATACTTGCGAGTCACTTTTTTTTTGGGCCGCAGAGAATGAAGAGCAAACGTGCGCAAGAGGTCGAGGCCGCTGCCGCTGACAAGCCGGCCAAGGCTCAGGACTATGCGACTCCTCTCTCCAAGAAGCGCAAGCGCAGCGGCGACAACGAGGTAGAGGACAGCGCCAAAAAGGCCAAAAAGGCCAGAATGGACAAGAAGGAGAAGAAGGAAAAGAAGAAGAAGAAGCAGGCCGAGAAGGCGAGTCGTAAGGACAAGAAGAATAAACGCAAGGACCTTAAGGACCTTCCGGGCGAGGACGACAACGACGCGGAGGCTGCCAATGGCGACGTGAACGACCAGCCCGCGACCAAGGAGACGAAGAAGAAGGATAAGTCAAAGTACAACAACAAGAAGGACAAGAAGGACAAGGAGGATAAGAAGGAGGAAGAGACTGTCGAAAAGGGCAAGAAGGACGAAAAGGACGAAGAGGACGAAAAGACGCCCAAGAAAGAGTCCAAAAAGGACAAGAAGAAGACATCCTCCTCGGACGAGACGACGGCAGCTGCGGCTCCCGAAGATGCCATTCCCAACGGCGCCAGCAATGGCATTGACCTCGACGTGGAGGATGCCAGCGCCGCCGCTACCGCCGAGGACAAGGACGACAAGGCGGCGCGCCACATTGTGTTTGTCGGCAACCTGCCGTACACGGCGACGGCGGCCAGCATCTCGGCGCACTTTGCGTCGCTGTCGCCCATTGCCGTGCGGTGCCTGACGCAAAAAGGCGGCGACCCGTCGCACACCTGCAAGGGCATCGCCTTTGTCGAGTTTGCCAATGCCATTACGCAGCGTACCTGCCTGGACCGGTTCCACCACAGCGAATTTGACGATGGGCACTCGCCGGCGCGCAAGATTAATGTCGAGCTCACGTAAGTGTTTTATTTTTCCTTTTCCCTCTCTCCTACATTTATGCCTTGCCGCTTTCCTCTCTCTCTCTCT